CTTGGCCAAAAATGACTCCAGCTGATGTCCAGAAATATACCAAGGTTTTTGTGCAAGTTGACACTGATAGGGACGGAAAGATCACTGGGCACCAGGCTCGGAATCTGTTCTTAAGTTGGAGGCTCCCACGAGGTAGGCTACATTTACTTTTTTGTTGCTTCATCCGAAACTCCGTTAGCAGTGGCTTAGTTTCCGTTTGAGCTTGTTGTTATAATGGTGAACGGGGATTATAATTAAGTGACACTTCTGTAGTTCTGTCTATTTGTTTGTACAGTACTGATCAACTGCTATTTTTGGTGTATCGGGAGTATTTCATGTTTTGGTCTAATTGTAGACTAAACGTCAATAGTATTATTAATATTGTCTTGTTCATAAATTATTTTTCTTTCCATGGGGAATATAAGACCGTTTTGATGTGCTTCTGAATACTGTTCCTTGGTATTACAGAGGCTTTGAAGCAGGTATGGGATTTATCTGATCAAGATAATGATAGCATGCTCTCCTTGAGGGAGTTCTGTATTGCGGTCTACCTAATGGAACGCTATAGAGAGGGCCAACCCCTTCCCCCGGTGTTCCCAAGCACTATAATACTTAATGAGAGCATGTTTACCTCTCCTGGTCAGTTTGTGGCAACACATGGCAATGCATCCGTAGGACAGCCACATGGTATTGCAACACAAACCTTTTTCTGTATTACTTGCATTATTTTTCTGAAGTAGGCAGATTCATTTCGTGACCAAATATTGTAGGTTTCCATCAGCAGCAACCTCATGGGGGTTCGAGGCCACCAGCTATACCCAAAGGAAAGCCTCCAAGGCCGGTTCCTCTCTCTCCTAGTGATGGAATGGTCCAGCCCACTCAGCCAAAGCGTAAAATGCCTGAGTTGGAAAAACATCTGGTGGATCAACTTAGCAAAGAGGAGCAGGATTCGCTCAACTCAAAGTTTGAAGAAGCAACTGCTGTTGATAAAAAGGCACTCTCTGGTTTCTCTCTGATTTTAATGTGTTAATGTGGTGAATTTTTGTGGTTAGCGTGAGTCTTTTTTTTATTTGAAGGCATGGTACTGAGATGAAAAAAAAAAGTGTAGATTTTGGTGGGTGATATTCAAGATTAGAAGTTTTGAAGTTCTTTCAACTTATTCTTGGCAGTGAATTTTAATTTTCTTGGCATGGAAGATATCAAACTGCCTCTGACAATTATGCATAATTCAATTTTTTTTTTTTTCCTTTCTNAACCTGTTTTGATCCTACTTATGACAATTTGTGTGCTTTTCCCCGCATAGGTGATCAGTTATCCATGTAGTCTTTATTGATGTAACCTAGAGATATATGTAACTGCCGTTTCTTTTTTCAAATTTCTTGTATCTTGGTTTTCAGGTGGACGAACTTGAAAAAGAAATAGCTGATTCCAAGCAGAAAATTGATTTCTTCCGTGCTAAGATGCAGGAGCTTGTAAGTATCTCTGCTTATTCAGCTTGGTCTTTTCATTTTAAAATTGTTGTCTGTAATTGCTTATTTGGTAACCAGAAGATGTAGAGGCAACAATTGTTCTGAAGTGATCTCAAACGTTCTAGGAATATAGTTGTTTTCAGGTCCCTTCATCTAATTATGAGCGACCAGTTTGTATTTATTACCTTCTCCCTTTGGTTCCTTGGGTGACAGGTTTTATACAAGAGCAGATGCGACAACCGGTACAATGAGATCACGGAGAGAGTCTCGGGTGATAAACGTGAGGTATACAGTTTCTGTTGCACTTTGCTTCTTCTATAGTGGTATTAGAGATCCAGTTTGATTACCTAACAAATTCAACCTGTAATCCAGCTTGAATCTCTAGCAAAAAAATATGAGGAGAAATACAAGAAGTCTGGCAATGTGGGCTCTAAATTGACGATTGAAGAGGCCACATTCCGCGATATACAGGTAGTTTAGAAGTATCATCCCAGGAACATGGCTTACTTTAAATTACCTGCAAGCTGGATGTCTCCTTCAAAAATATGATAAATCTCCCTTTAAATTGCAGGAGAAGAAAATGGAATTGTACCAGGCAATAGTCAAATTTGAAGAAGGCAAGCTTGATGATAGTGTTGTAAAGGTAAGCGACATCTTCTATCTTGTTGATGGAATGTGATTTGTAGTTGTAGTTAGCTGAATGTTTAACTTGTAGGAACGCACTGAGCACATCCTATCTGGCCTTGAGGAACTGGTTAAAAGTTTGAATGAGCGCTGCAAACAATATGGAGTACGTGGCAAACCCACTTCGCTGGTGGAGCTTCCTTTTGGTATAGATTTACCCCTTCTTCTCTCATGTTAAATATCATATTATCTTGATCAGTGGCAGGAATGGTTACTAGAATCTAGTAATTTTAATATTCAAGAACTTGATTAAACGTTGATGCTTTTGTATAACACAGAACTCAGTATATTTGGCTCTTTATGTATTGTTGCTAGAAATACTTCTATCTATACAACTGGTATACTTGTTATATATACTCCTTTGTTTATATTCATGGGATGTCCTTGAATTTACAGGTTGGCAGCCTGGAATCCAGGAAAGTGCTGCTGATTGGGATGAAGATTGGGATAAGCTAGAGGAGGAAGGTATGTATTTGCGGTTTAGATTTAGATATTTTTTGTCGGATGAGATTATTGAGGAAGCATGGCTTTAGATGTTTAAACAATTTTCTTGTGTCTTTATATTTTTGTTTTTTTGGGTGATCTATCTTCCAATATAGGCTATGGATTTTGCAGTTGAACACTTGAACTTTGCATCCTAATTTTTCTCCACTTCCAGGGTTTACCTTCGTCAAGGAGCTTACACTTGATGTCCAAAATATTATAGCCCCACCAAAGGAAAAATCATCCGCTTGGAAGAAAGAAGATGTTTCATCCTCAGATGCTTACTCTAAAACAGAGAAAAAGCCAAGCAGTGGTGAAGAGGCTTCTGAAAAGGAAGCAGCATCTGAACCGTCAGATGGTAAAAAATCCGATGTTAATGCTAGAGATAAAAACGGGTCTCTGGATGACTCTAATGATAGTAAGGGTATTGAAGCTGACGGTTCACCCCAAACTAAAGACACGAGGAGGTATGCTTTTTTTGTGTTAGACCTAGTATGTCTTGGTTTTCAGCTTTCTTAACTTGTGGGTATCATGTGCTTTCATGAAAAGGGGAAAATATGAGCATAATATGTTCCTACACATCTCGGATGATTTATATTGTCGACATTTTACTTATTTTTTTCAGTGAAAATGGCCATGATGATGGTGAATCGACTGCTTCTGCTGGCAAAAGTGGAAACGAACCTAGTTGGGGAAATTATGATTCTCACGATGACACAGATTCAGTTTCAAATTTCAGCCCTGACAACGGAAAGGTAAACTGTGCTCATTGTGCTAATTTGGGTTTTATCACGTTTTGATTATGAATAGTTATCTTAACCTTTATATACCTACTGGAAAGAATCATTCCTGTTATTGTCTGATAAAAAGACAAGAATCTAATTGCTTTGAGCATTGTGTGTTTATGCAGGACAAGGATCATGAGAAGCATGATAGTGGGTTTGGATTCGGGTTCGGATTCGATGACTTCAGCATTAAGCCTATAAAAACGGGTTCCACCCTTTCAAATGACTTCCTCCCTCCTAAGTTATCTATATTTGCTGATTCTGTCCCAAGCACCCCAGCAAATGCCAACGACACTTTCACTGCAAAACCTTCCTTGTTTGCTGATTCTGTCCCGAGCACTCCAGCGACAACCACTGCGTCTTACCCAGGCCAGAAATCATTCTTTGATGACTCGGTTCCAAGCACTCCTGCTTACGCAGGAAATTTGTTTCCTGAGAAGAAATCATTCTTCGATGACTCGGTTCCAAGCACTCCTGCTTATCCTGGAAACGTGTTTACCGAAAAGAAATCCTTCTTCGATGACTCTGTTCCAAGCACTCCTGCTTATAGCACGTCTGATTTTGGCGGGAAGCCATTTGCATCAGAGACACCTCGTTCCGACAACTTGTTCCCAGGAAGAAGTCCCTTCATGTTCGACTCTGTCCCAAGCACACCTGCTGCACACGATGACTTCTCTTCCAACACCTTCTCCCGCTTTGACTCTTTCAACAGCAACAACAATGACGCTTTCTCTCTATCCCGCACAGACTCGATGCGCAGCACAAGCGAGCCTGACCCATTCGCATCCAGGTTTGATTCTTTCAACTATCAAAGATATGATTCCTTCAATGCACAAGATTCATCTAGCAACAACAACGCATCCGAGACACCTAAAGCCTCATTGACGAGATTCGACTCAATCGGAAGCATCAGAGACTCTGATTACAGTCACGGATTTGGGTTCGATAACCATGACCCGTTTGGTTCTACCGGACCATTCAAATCAACGACAACTACAGCAGAGACACCACGGAGTTCTGATAATAATTGGAATGCCTTCTAGCCCAAAGTCATGGGTGATATGAATATGATCACATATCAGATACTTTGCTGCTTTTTTATTTTAATATAGTTTGAATTTACCAGTCGGAAGAGTTATATGTATCTTCATTTGTTTGTTTTCCCCTGCTTGCTTCATTTTTTTTTTTTTTATTGTTCATATATAATAGTCTTTTGCCATTTTTTCTTCTAAGGATGTTTTGATGAGAGTGTCCTTTGGGTCTTTGAGTAGTGTTTTTCTTCTCTTGTTTCTTGACTCGTTTTGTTATGATGAATAATGAATTTATTTGTCCTTGTGAAACAGAAATTAATGTTGTATTTTTGTAATCGTTTTGATATTTTTCAGCTGTTTGCTATATTAGATTGACTGGTATTTTTGACAATATTTCCAAATTAATTTTATATTTTTCAATTTTGTGCATGGAATATTTTTTAAATAAGGGTTTTAATAAAAAAATCTCTTCAACTATGTTCGGATCATAAAAAATCCTCCCAACTAAATTTTTAGTAAAATTTTTTTTTAATTATACTTCGTTAATGAAATAAACATTCCGTCTACAATAACGTTTAATCCTAATAAAAATTGTTGTCTTTTGTTACAAAAACGACATAACGTCTCAAATATTGACCAAAACATCAAGTTGTTTACAAGAAAAAAACACAAAATGAATCTTATGGCAAAAAAATGTGATCATAGGTGTATTGTAAATCGTG